GAGAAACAGACGAATAACGTACGAGACGATCGAAGGACAGGTAACGAGACAGGTCACCGCTGGGGTGGCTCAGGGGTCGATACTGGGACCCGACTTTTGGAATGGTCTATACGATAGTCTGCTTCGGCTTGGGATGCCACTCGGAGTGACCCTCGTCGCCTACGCTGATGACGTGGCGGCGGTGATCACGGAGAGATCTCCCGAGCTGGCGCAGCTGACGTTGAACCAGACCATGAGACGAGTTGGACGATGGATGACAGAACACGGACTGCAACTCGCAACAGAAAAGACGGAACTTATGCTTCTCACGAGAAGACGCATACAGACGATACTACCCATGAGAGTGGGCACATACGAAACGGAGACCAAAGGGGAAGTCAAGTACCTTGGGGTAACCCTTGATACGAAGATGACCTTCTGGCCTCACATACAGAAGACAGCCCGAAAAGCGGCAGAGAGGATAACATCCTTGAGCCGCCTGATGGCAAACACGACGGGACCGAGACCAGGAAAGCGGCGACTGCTAATGGCGACAGCTCACTCGATCCTCTTATACGGCGCGGAAATATGGGCAGATTCCTTGAAGACAAAGAAGTACTGTAAGACAATGACGATGGTACAGAGACAGGGCGCTCTGCGAATCGCTTGCTCCTACCGAACAGTCTCTGCGCAGGCTGTCCTGGTGGTGGCGAGCGTAATACCCGTGGATCTTCTTGCCTCGGAACGCAAAAGGATCTATGGGAGCAGCGCAGACATAGGACGAAAGAACGCGGCAATCGTTGAACGCGAAAGGACGATCGACATGTGGCAAGACCGATGGACAGAAGAACGAGGTAGCAAATGGACGAGACGACTGATACGGGACGTGAGACCGTGGCTTGGAAGGAATTTTGGAGATGTGAATTTTCACGTCACCCAGCTCTTGACGGGCCACGGGTACTTTCGACGGTACCTCCACAATATGAACCGAGTACGAACACCCGACTGCAAGTATTGTGGACACGAACGAGACGACGCGGAACACACGTTTTTCGGGTGCGACCGCTGGACAAGACTCAGACGAGAACTAGAGACAACAGTTGGCAACATCACCCCCGATAACATTGTAGAGGTGATGCTGCATAAACCTGAATGGTGGCGTTTAGTCGCTACCTATACGGAAACCATACTAAGACGTAAGAACGCGGACGACTGTCTGAAGGACGACTGAGCAGACGGATTGACGCGACGTAACGACGCACGGTAAAACGATACGAACGAAGGAACACAGACAGAACCCCCAGTCAGAAGTAATATCAACATAGTCCCTGGCTGGGGGAAGGACAACAAGGAGATGGCGGTTTAGTGGGTAGGCCTGTCTTTTTTTTTTTTGGGGAGTCCCACATACCTCCTTAGATCAAGACTAAGGGGAATCCGCAAAAAGGATTCCGCAACTCCTTGTAAAAAAAAAAAAAAAAAAAAAAAAAAAAAAAATAATAATAATAATAATAATAATAATAATAATAATAATAATAATAATAATAATAATAATATTAATAATATTAATAATAATAATAATAATAATAATAATAATAATATTAATAATTTATTGTTTCATGTTTTAGTTGTGAAATCATTTAAAAAATCTTAATGTAGAGGCTATTTAAATAGTTGTCAATAAAACAATTACCAGTATTAATATGGAGTTATTTATTATTTAACCCATTAAAGCCCACGCTAAGACTGGTTGAGATAGCGACAAACAAACTGTGCTATCTTTTGCATAAGTGAAAAATAAAATATACGTATTTTTTTTTATGTTATTTTCAATTGTTTATAACAAATTATTTAAACAAATTACAAAAAAATTCATAATTATCAAAATCTAAATGCGGGAATCGATTCTGGAGGTGAAATCAAGACGAAAACCTATATAACACTTTTTTGTCAGAATTCAATTTGTTAGTGTAACGTAGGAATAAACAATTGCATGTTGGGGAGAAAAAGTGACCATGTCAAGTCCCAAGCAAAATCTATCTGGAATAGCAAAAAATAAACTGTGCTATCCTTTGCATAAGTGAAAAATAAAATATATATATTTTTTCTTATGTCATTTGCAATTGTTTATAACAAACTATTTAAACAAATTATAAAAAAATTTATAATTTTCAAAATCTGAATGCGGAAATCGATTCTGGGGGTAAAGTTTAGACGAAAACCTATATAACACTTTTCTGTCAGAGGCCAATTAGTTATTGTAATGAAGGAAGAAACATTCGGCCTCCTGAGAGTGTTTCAAAAAATCGTATAAAATGAAGCTAATTATTGTATTTATCCATCAATATTGGCATGAATTATTGTAAATATAATCGGTGGGATTGAATTATTGTTCATTGCCATGTCCTTTTTTATGACTTTTGCAAACAGGCATAGAACATTTCTCACAATACCATTCCGTTCTTGTCCGACATGTTGAAATTCCACATTTCCTAAGACTCCCATGTTTCATCACGTGTTCTTGGGATGAAGTTTCACTCTGTTTCTGTCGTTTGGGGGGACGTTTGGAAGATAACTTGTCAATATAATATTCACAAACTTCTTGAACAATATCTTTGGAACCTTTTCTTTCGTCTGGATGTAACTTATTGTAAATCACTGTAGCGTTTGCTAAGGATGCTTGGATGAGCCGTAATACAAAGGCACCATGTCCATTTCTTACTTCGAATTGTAGGCATCAAAGCATTACAGTGTTGATCATGTAGATCGACGCCACCCATGTGTTCATTATACATAGAGAAACAATGAGGAAAAAGAATAGATTTTTTCGATGATTCCTGCCATCTCTGCATTTCAACTTTTGGTTCATTTCCATATTTCGAAGAGAGAATCGATACTGGCTTTGAGTCCATAACTGTAATATAATTCAATTTTGAATTCACTTCATGCATTGAAATAGTGTATCCTCTTTTAGCTTTTTTTGGCATTTCGACTTTCACTTTCACACGATTATGCCGAACAGTTCCTGTCGCCGATAAACCATTTTTTTTCAAATGAATCATAAGATCTGGGTTTGTGAAAAAGTTGTCAAAATAAATATGATACTTTTTCAGTTCTTCTCTCTGTGTTTTTTCTAATAAATTCGAAAGTAACTTTATCACCACTCTAGACCCTAAACCAACGGCAACTAAAGGATTTCGTTCATCGATTCCTGATTTACCAGTGTAAATATCAAGATCATATATATACCCATCAGAAGAACAGACTGCCCATTCTTTTATTCCAAATCTAATGGGTTTATTCCTTATACATTGCTTGATACCAAACCTACCAAAGTATTTTACCATTATCTCATCTATTGATAAATTATAGTCAAAGAAACCAAATTGCATACAATTCTCACGAAACATATCATACAGAGTTCTAACCTTCCAGACTTTATCATTTTGATCAGTTTCTTGAAGTTTATAGAATCGTATGTTCTTTTTTATGGCAACGAAATTATTTCTAGACATAAGTTCCGCAATTACTGGACACTGAAGTATTCGCTTTTTTGACCAGTAATCACGAATACTTTTTCTAGAATTGAAGATAGTAATCATTATGATTGTAATAAATTTTTCTAGATCATCCATACATAAATCAAAATGATTTTCAGAAGTGGCTTCAATGATATGGTTTTTCATTGATTTCGAAAAGAAAACCTCAAACAACTCAAAAGCATTTTTGGATTGCAATGATGAAATAGGTGAAATATTGAAGTTGCTCTCGACATGCGGAGAAATATCATTCAAAGCATCATTTTTCCAACTGTACTTATGATTCGGTTCCAACAATTTCTGAGTACTTGTGTATGTACTTTTAACATGTTCGTAAGAACCTGATGGTAATTCATTTGATAATGTATCTTCATTTGGATCACCGTCCGAATCTCCATCTGAACTTTCATATTCATTAGGAATGAATGCTATATCAATATGTTGACCTTCATCACTATCAGAATCTTCAACTAAATTTGGTAGATCGCTAATTCTCCGTCTCGGCATTATCAGTAACGTTACCAATTTAGAACAAAATAAAAACTAAAAGTTTTCCGAAATTATTATTTCAAAGAATAGATCCAATGTATAAATGTTTTCAACCGTTAGCCCGCCACTCAAACGTGATCTCTAACACGGAAGGATTTACGAAATGAAATAAACTTATCCAATTACAGTATAAGATCTCAAAATTTATCAGTAAAAAATACTGATATGATTCCAGATACCATGTGTGAGAATGAAAACACTTATTTGTCAATAGTTTATTTCTACATAAAGATATCAAATTGAACTCTGACAAAAAAGTGTTATACAGGTTTTCATCTCAATTTTATCCCCCGAATCGATTTCCGCATTCAGATTTTGAAAATTATGAATTTTTTTGTAATTTGTTTAAATAATTTGTTATAAACAATTGCAAATGACATAAGAAAAAATATATATATTTTATTTTTCACTTATGCAAAGGATAGCACAGTTTATTTTTTGCTATTCCAGATAGATTTTGCTTGGGACTTGACATGGTCACTTTTTCTCCCCAACATGCAATTGTTTATTCCTACGTTACACTAACAAATTGAATTCTGACAAAAAAGTGTTATATAGGTTTTCGTCTTGATTTCACCTCCAGAATCGATTCCCGCATTTAGATTTTGATAATTATGAATTTTTTTGTAATTTGTTTAAATAATTTGTTATAAACAATTGAAAATAACATAAAAAAAAATACGTATATTTTATTTTTCACTTATGCAAAAGATAGCACAGTTTGTTTGTCGCTATCTCAACCAGTCTTAGCGTGGGCTTTAATGGGTTAATAATAATTTGTCTATGAGAGTGTTGTACATAAAGAGTGAGAGGGGAGCAACGACCTGGGCTAAATTCTTCATGTATTATAACTTTTTTGTTATTAAATTTATTTAAATGATATTATTTCAAAGATAATTAAAAGAGAAATGTTGTAATTAATTTTTATATTCACAGATGGATATACATGTACAAATGATCCGCACATCTCTGAAACGACCAACCGATACCGAAGGAGAAGGTAGGATGTGTCATTTTATATTATAATGATATATTCATGAATTATTTAAGACTTACAAAATTACTGTGTAAATTTTGTTTAAATATTGTACTGATTAAATATTATTCTTCTTCGATGATGCTGTTGTCGATCAGTGTAAGTCAAATAGAAAAAAATTTTTCATGTTCCTTAACAGATTTGATAACTTTTGTGGAGGGGAATTTCGGGGGGTTTAAGCCGTGGACGCAAAGTACTTCCGCCACAAGGCCTGGAGTGACTCGTCTTCTCGACTAGGTTGTAAGGGCGCCTTATCGCTGTTCCTACTTTATGACGATCGTCGGGGAGAAGAGACGAAAATCGGTGCATAGGTTGGTTTAATCGCTGTGCGACTGTATAGAGTGGGAAAATGATTGGTCACACGCTGTGAATTCTTCTCTAAGCCACTCCAACGGTCAATGGGTCGCTCTCTATCCTCAAGTACTTCTTCTCCATCCCTGGAATACTGGCAGCTCTGCAGTGTGGCGCTCAGAGCACCGAGTAGCCGGCGACAGCTGATTGACGGCTTCCCGACATCGTCGTTCATTGCAGCAGTTGTGGCGGCTGAGGGATCCTGGGGTCTTAAAGACGGTGTGTGTGCCTGATTTCCCACTAGTGCCGGCCTGTTTTCCGCGCGCGCGTGTGTCTGTGTGTGTGTGTGTGTGTATATGCTCAGTCGTTCCACAATTTATCCCTTCATTTCCCGATTTTCTACAAGTTTTCTGGATCTGTGAGTGCGTGTGGTCGGTCGCAGGACGGGAAATTAGTCGATTTTCCGCTTATCGATGCGTGACATTCTCACAGTCGCAAAATATTTTCGTTCGTTGTTTGCGACTGTGTTGGATATAAGTGGTGTGCGTGCACTCCTTAATTCTTTCTCTTGCCGTAGGTTGTCTGTCGTCGGATCACGTCGTCGACTTGCAGCATCGATTCCTCGGGCGTGAGTGAGACGATTTTGGTGGTACAAGGTGTTTCGAATTCATTATTTGTCGGTTTAGTTTATTCACGCGGTCACGGGGCGGAAAGTGCGGCGTCCTTTTTAATGATGATGCACCACATGACACTTTCTCAAAATTTTATTGTAAAAAAGGAATAAAATACTGATTAGAACATTAATACATGATCATTAATAACAGCGTACAAAATAAATAACCAACAACGTTGTCTAGCGTATGATTATTAATTATATATACCCAGCGCTAAATAATGAATTCTGAAGTAAGATAATGAGATTTCACACACACGCACACATGCACACACGCACACACGCACACACGCACACACACACACACACACACACACACACACACACACACACACACACACACACACACACATATATATATATATATATGACTGAGTATATACAGAGTGGCCAATTTTAATCGCCCCACTAAGATACTCGATTAGTAAGGTTTTTCTCGAAAAAAGTTTCAGACTAAAGTTGTTTAACTTTGAGGAGGCCATGTTTTGGTGATATTGCATTTGACCTTGAACATGTTTTTCCTAGGTTAATTCAAGGTCAATGTTGTTTTTTAAATCAGAACATCTATTTTTGATGGCACATTTAGATTTAGCGGGAAATTTTACGTTTAGGTAATGTAATATGTGTGTGGGGGTCCATGAGACCCCCACCTCACCCCTACGGTCATTTTCTGGTCAACCTTTTGTTTCAACGGTAATTCCTATTCTTGATCAAATATTCGCATTCTACGTTCATTTCTACGATTAGACAAGGTTATGTCTGTGAGGTTTAAGTGACTCCTATCTCATTCCCAAGATCATTTTGAGGTCGACTTAGAGTGGAAAATCCTACTTTGAAAACCGCTATATGCCCGCAATCCTTGTTTCAAAATAAATCTAAGGACAAATCTTCAAAATTAATTCAACAACTTTTGGTCGTAATGTTTGGTTTTTAAGACTTGTGGATCCTCCGATGAATACCTTACAAATTCTAGGCATTTGAAATTGAATTAATTTACAAATTTACTTACAAAATGAATCCATTTGAAAGAAGGTAGAACTTACGCTATAGTAACATAGTAATTCTAGCAAGAATGGTATTCTTCAGGGTGTTGGAACATACTTGAAAATTAATCGTAGTAAATTTTGATATAGTGTTTTAAAGTGTTTTTTTGTCATACCGTGGTCTCCAATGTAGAATTTTTCATATTTGTTAAAAATAAAAGATACTTGATCAAAAATTCCCATCTGTAATAGACTGCAGAAATTTATATAAAACCCTTTTATCTCTTTTTCTATAAATTTTCTAGGTAAAATTTTGAATATGGCCAAATTTTTGCAATGATTCTAGTTCTTGGAGAATGTCGTAATCGTTACAGAGCAGCGACAAGACTTTATGCGCGACGTTTTCCGAATAGAAAACATTCTGATTATACAATTTTACGGAAATTGATTCGACAAGCTCGAAATGAACATTTTGTTCGCCGACGCAGACACCTTGAATTTGATAGAATGGATGCTCGCATATTAACTGTTTTAGCGGCTGTTCATTTCGATCCTTACATCAGTAGTAGACAAATAGAAAGGGAAATCGGTATACCTAGAACAACAGCTTTGTCTATTCTTAATAGACTTCGATATCATGCTTATCGCATTACCTTTGTCCAAGACTTAAGACAAAATTATATTGCTATGTGTATCAACTTCTGTCAGTGGGCTTTAAGAATGATACAAGAAACTCCTAATTTTTTCAAATTTGTACTTTTTTCTGATGAGGTGAAGTTCTGCAGTGATAGTAAACTTAACAGACATAATTGTCATTATTGGTCAAATACAAATCCCCATTGATACAGATCTGTCGATAGGCAACATCGGTGGAGTCTCATATTATGGTGTGGTATAGTAAACGGTTACTTGATCGGACCTTATTTCTTCGATGAAAACGTTAATGCAAACAGATATTTAGAGTTGACAATCGATAGGTTACCAGAAATGTTAGAAGATGTTGATCTAGAAACAAGAAGAAGATTGTGGTTCCAGTAGGACCGCGCCAGCTCATTTCGCAAGAATTGTTCGTAATTTTTTTGAACGTGACGTACGGAAAACAAGGGATCGGACGAGGAGGTCCAGTCAATTGGTCTCCAAGGTCACTGGATCTCATATTGCCAGATTTTTATTTGTGGCGAAATTGCAAGAACGTTGTTTATGCAGAACGGCCAACAACGAGGGAGGATATGATGGTTCGCATCTGCCAAGCTTGCAGAGCTATTCCGTTTGAATCTGTACCTCAAAGTAAATGGCTTGTACTTTGAAAAGGAAGTTCGTGTATAAAAAGTGAGAGGCACGGCGAACAATCACGGTAAACAAGCACCCTTTACTGAAACTCCTGAATATTTGCTTAGGTTGACCTCAAAATTACCTTGGGAATGAGGTGGGGGTCATTCAGATCCCACAAACATGATCTTGTCTAAACGTAGAAATAAACGTAGAATGCGAATATTTGATCAAGAATAGGTATTCTCGTTGAAAAAAAGATTGACCAAGAAATGACCTTGGGGATGGGGTAGGGGTCTCATGGACTTCTATTATATTATATTAATTATTATATTACATTACGTATTATATTACCTGAACGTAAAATTTTTCGTCGAATCCAAATCTACTGTGATGTCGTGGCAACGACACGTCTCAGGTGCACCTGAGGCTTGGCGCAGTCTCAGGGTTCTGTTGTTGCTAATCTGCGATTTCTCGCATAAACTAGCAGGATCACTAATCGAAAATTAATAAAACCGAGGGGGACAGTGCCACTAAACCTATACTTCTGTCCTTGGATTCCAATCAATAGTTGTAATTCAAGAACGCGAAGTATCCTGGGTCCTATCGATAGTAGAACCCGGTTTCCCTATTACAATTTTTACGTGGAGCCTAAAAAAAGTAGTCTTCAAATACGAAAAAGGGAAGAATTTTCGAACGACGAAATAGATTTTTAAGATAATTTAGATAATTTCTAAGATAAAGGAGAGATAGATAAGTTACGAAAAAAATTAAAAGTTTTATTTGCTTATTCTTTTTTATTGAAACTTGACACCTTTTAACTTGTGGGTCCTAATTCTGTATGAGTCGATTTTATTTGACCCGCTTCTTGGGCTTCTTGGCTGCTTGGCTTCTTTTTTGATTCACTTCCTGTTTGCTTGACTACTTGATTCACTTCTTGGCTTCTTGGTGCTGATTCCTGTGCTTCCTTCAGCACTAGTATTCAAACTCTCTCTCTTTCACACACAACTGCCCTTTGGGTCTTGTGCAGCCTTTTTTATATATGGTGGGTGGTTGGGTGGTAAGTCACTCTCTTAGCCTCTCGGTTTCGGGAGGAGTGGAGCAGGCAATGATGTGTTCATTGGTCCGTTTGTTTCTTCTGATTTTCCTCGCTGGATTTTCGGGCCCTGATTGGAGCGGGGGCGTGGAGAAAATCGGGGGCGCGGACGCAAGGGTACAGACCTTAGCTCGTGAGATGGCTCTTTGAGTATCATTCGCAGCCAAGATTAGTTTAAAATTTTGTAATTATTAATTAATTGAAGTCGGAATAAATATAATCGACCATACATAGCTTATACACTACTTAATATTAACAACTAACATTATAATTAAATTCACCGCAAAATATAGTTACTAATAATTATGTAATAATAAAATTTTATAAAAATAGAGTGATGCTTATATCTCGCACGCTACGCTGTGTAGATTAATTTCTTATAATAAAAGTTTACTAGATAACATTTTATCCGTTAAAATTAACGTATATTTTTTTATTTTTTCTATTTTCTGCTTAAACTAAGCTCCGGAGCGAAAACTCGATAAAAGGTTTTGAAAGACCAAAATTATTTCTGATATATTGTTGAAATTAATATATTCAAGTTCAAAAAATATTATTTCATAATTTCTAATGCCTAATTTCTAGTTGGAAAGGAAAAAATTCGTTAGTCATGATATGAACAGGATGCAGGCGCGATTTTATGGCCCTCTTC